AGGGAAAGTGGTAAACTGCAATATGTTGCTGATGTGTCAGGTAAGATGTGACTTGAGAATTGACCATTGGATTTAGCAGTGAGGTCAGTGATGACCTATATAGAGCTTTTTGTTGATTGGTGTGGGGGAAAGTTTGATTAGAATGCACTCAAGAGAGAATGGGAGAATAAAACTGGAAATAGTGAATATAACATAACTATTTCAAGGAATTTTGCACTAAAGAAAAAGAAGTGAAATGGGGCATTGTAGGAGAATAGATTCAAGGAAGGTTTTTCTCTTTTAATGGGAGAAATAACAGCATGTTTGTATGCTGATCTAGTAAAATGATGAATATTTATTATAATTATATAAAGGAAACAGGAAAAATTGCTGGATTAACTTTCTTGTGTAGGTGAAAGGGAGTAGAATCTAGTGTACAACTGGAGACATTCACCAAGTCAGGAGCTTACACAGTTTAGTCACAACAGGAGAAAAGGTAGAGACCGTGGAGATACAGACAGACAGGTTGGTAGACATGGTGGTGGCAGCTGCTGAAGTTCTTATCTGATCGTTTCAGTTTTCTCAGTGAAAGAGGACACATGGTCATTAGCTGAGATTGAAGACAGTGGAGGAGGTATGGGAGCTCTGAGGAGAGTGGAGAAAATATGCAATTATTGTTCAAGAAGGTGGACAGAGGACTACCCAGCAGCACAGGAACCCACTTGAGGTTAATGATGATTTATTTCAAAATGAGACTTTTTAGTCTGGTTATATATTCTCCAGCCATATCCAGCTACACAGATACAGAAATAAAGTAGGTAGAATTAAATTTAACCAGGATTGTGATTAACCATATTATGTATGTATGATGTTATGATTTATGATAAATATCTATTTGGTCTTTATTCCTGTTTCTGGCACAGTATTCTAAACTCCTTGGAATTGCCTGACAAGAGCAACACAGGTGTCTTTCATTTTGTTAATTAGGTGATTGGGGGCCTCACCTAAGGCTAGGGGCTTCTTGCCAGGGGAACCAACCAGGTGATTAGAGGGTTAGCACTTTCAGCCCCACCCCCCTACTTTTGGGGCGAAGAAAGAAGCAGGAGATTGAGTTCAATCACCAATGGGCAATGGTTTAATTAATCACACCTGTGTAAGGAAACCTCCATTAAAAACCCAAAAGGCGGGGGTTTGGAGAGCTTCCGGGTTGAGCAGGCAGAGCTGTGGGAGAGAGCTCTTGGAGAAGGCATGGAAGCTCCACGTCCTATCCTACGTTCCTTGCCCTAGGCATCTCTTCCATCGGATGTTCAGCTATATCCTTTTATAGGAAACTGCTAAGCAGTAAGTAAACAGTTTTTTTGATTTCTGTGAGCTGCTGTAGCAACTTAATTGAACCCGAGGAGGAGGTTGTGGAAACCTCAGGTCAGAAGAACAGGTGACTTGGGATTGGCATCTGAAAGAGGGGCGGGGGGACAGTCTCATTGGACTGAGAACTTACCCTGTGTGATCTGATACTATCTCCATGTAGATACTGTCCGAATTGAGTTAAATTGTGGAACACCCAGCTGGTGTCTCAGAGACTTGCTTGTTTGTGGAGAATACCTCCACTCATCTGGTGTCAGAAGTGTTGTGAGTGTGGTAGTCGTGTGAAAGTAAAGGAAACGCACAGGAGAAACACGGAAGGAGGAAGGACTGGCTTTTTCCCTATACAGGAGGAAAGAACATTGTTTTCTCCATCCCAGCATGCAAAACTGCATTTATACTATTATCACCTGCGGCTTGTTTAAAAGCAAATTCTCAGACTCCATCCCAGACCTACTGAATTAGAAACTCTGAGAATGGTTGTAACAAACCCTCTAAGTGATTCTGATACAGACTAAAGTGATGGCTACTGAGATGGATAATCTTTAGGTGTTTTCTCGCTCTAAAATTCAGTGATTTAGTGCTTTAGTTCAAATTTCCGTATCATTGATGAGAATTTGTTGTGAAGACAATCAAGATAAATTAATGTGAAATTAAATTTAAAAAGATAAGTGGGCTTTTCTTTGTTGAGAGATTTTTGATTACTGATTAAATCTCCTTATTAGTTACAGGTCTGTTGAGACTTTCTATTCATGATTCAGTCTTGGTCGGTTATATGTTTGTAGGAGTTTATCCATTTCTTCTAGGTTATCCTACTATATTAAGAACTATATATCTAGATCATTGGATTTTCCCAAAGAAGTACATTCTTTCAATCTCTCCATAAAAGAAGGGAGTCTGGCAAGAGTTTGAATTCATGATAGTAGCATGTGACAAAAGGGTATGTGAAATTTCATTTTTCTATAGTACCTGTAGAGAATTTTATTTTGCTTTTTTAATTCAATGAACTTAAAATATCTAAAAATCTTAATAGCTTCCCACGTGTCTAGCTATTAAGGGCTTAGACAGATTCCATGCTTTATTCAGTAGTTTCAAGTGACAGTATATCTACTTTGGGGAAAATAGAATTGCTACAAACACATTCAATACAACTAGTAATAAGAACTGTAAACAACTAATAGAGCTGCTACCTGTAAGTGGAGTGTGTATATTTGTTTCCCTGTATTAAGCTGTGATTATACTTCAGTCAAATACAATCATTATGCTTGAACTATATTCTTACTGTATTAGTTTTTAAGATATAATGCATGAATTTCACAAATATGTTTGAAATATACACATCTTATATGGAAAGGCCCTAACTAAATACTTGCATAGAGCGAAATTTCTCATCACGGTTTAGACTTAAGATGAAAAACTACATCCTTCTCATTTGATCTCCAGACAAAACCTATTAACTAGTTTCATATTAT